TACAAATGCATTAATGTATTCATGTATTAATTTATTAATGTATTAATGTATTAATGTATTAATGTATTAATGTATTAATGTATTAATGTATTAATGTATTAATGTATTAATGTATTAATGTATTAATGTATTAATGTATTAATGTATTAATGTATTAATGTATTAATGTATTAATGTATTAATGTATTAATGTATTAAATACAAAAGCACCTGAAGTCTTTCTGCGTAGCCTCAGAATGCCTAATCCAGTGGCAAAAGAGATACCAAGATATAATTGGTGGCATAACTTATACTGGAAACTTCTATTGAAATAAAAAAACCTGTCCAACTCACAGAGGTCAGGATGAAATACCAAAGTTGGCAAGTAGATAAAAAAAGCTGAGTGTGTTTCATTTAAAATCACTTAGGGATACAAAAATGGAAGCGAACCAGGCCAATCTATCAGTATTGTCAATGAACTCCTGCTTAAGGGTAATGGGAATTCTTAAAAGCTGAAGATTTTTTTGCCGTTGGTTCTCTGATTATCCTTGATGATTCCAAGTATGATCCATCCTGGATCAACAAATTAAAGAGAGGAATTCCACTTCAAAGTTCATTCCCATTATATTTTACTATCTTCTTTCGATCAGTAACTAAATATTGAAAGACTGATTTTTTTTTTTCCCCTTAGAACCAAAGCAACGAGTCTGGAAGATTATAGTCCTGCCTCTACTGAATGAAGTTCCTCAGGTCATAGAATCATAGAATGGTTTGGGTTGGAAGGGACCTTCAAAGATCATCTAATTCCAACCCCCCCCTGCCATGGGCAGGGACATCTTTCACTAGATCAGGTTGCTCAAAGCCCCATCCAACCTGACCTTGAACACTTCCAGTGATGGGGCATCCACAACTTCTCTACGCAACCTGTTCCAGTGTCTCACCACCCTCATCGTAAAACATTTCTTCCTTATATCCAGTCTAAATCTACCCTCTTTCAGTTTGAAACCATTGCCCCTTGTCCTGTCACTACAGGCCCTGTTAAAAAGTTTCTCTCTGTCTTTCTTATAAGTCCCCTTTAAGTATTGAAAGGCTGCAATAAGGTCTCCCAGAAGCCTTTTCTTCTCCAGGCTGAACAACCCCAACTCTCTCAACCCGTCTTCATAGGAGAGGTGTTCCATCCCTCTGATCATTTTTGTGGCCCTCCTCTGGACCCGCTCCAACAGGTCCATGTCCTTCCTGTGCTGGGGATTGCAGAGATGGATGCAGTTTTCCAGGTGGGATCTCACCAGAGCAGAGTAGAGGGGCAGAATCACCTCCCTTGACCTGCTGGCCAGGCTTCTTTTTATGCAGCCCAGAATATGATTGGCTTTCTGGGCTGCAAGCACACATTGCTGGCTCATGTCCCATTTTTCATCCACCAGTATCCCCAAGTCCTTCTCTGCAGGGCTGCTCTCAATCCATTCATCCCCTAGTGTGTATTGATATCGGGGATTGTCCAGGTGCAGGACCTTGCACTTGGCCTTGTTGGACTTAATAAGATTTGCATGGGCCCACTCCTCAAGCCTGTCAAGGTCCCTCTGGATGGCATCCCTTCCCTCAAGCAAATCAACTGCACCACTCAGCTCGGTGTCATCTGCAAACTTGCTGAGGGTGCACCCAATCCCATTGTCTATGTTGTTAATGAAGATATTAAATATTATTGGTCCCAGTACATCAGCATTTGAGAAAATAGCTAATGCTTGGTTTGAAGATGATTTTAAGTACATATGCCTTTTTTTCCAATAGTTCATTTCCAATTTATTAGATGATTTCATATTTACTTCCTTAGTAGAATTCTGCTCTTCTTCAAATGCCTTTTCCGTGAGCTCTCTAAGGAACCATGGCAGCAACTTGCTAGAGAACCTGTATTTACTAAGTTATAGAATGGCTAGTTTTGAATAAAGGTTCGAATTAAATGATGAGTTGTGAGCCTAAAGTATTTATTTCATATTAATTGAAACCCAGAGCCTTAGCATTTTGTGACTTGATCTACAAAGCTTTGCCATGAGTGTAGTGATTTTAATTGCAAGTCATGCACTGAATTATTGATTGTTCACAGTAATGAGTACTGTGCTCAATGCAGAGAGTGTTGCAGGATCAATTTTTCTGTCTCTGTTCCTATAGCAGTTACAAACTGTATAGGGGAGTCAATCACATTAAAAGTATCTTCTTATTGCTTTTATTTATTTTTTCCTCCTTTTTCTTGTCTTCTCCTGAAGATCTCTTCATATTCCTACTGTAGTTCCTGCCTCCAACATTGACATCTCTCTTTGAGGTTTGTCATCATAAAGTAGCATGTGGTCCTAGAGTCTAACCTTGCTCCCACCACAAAACTCTCAAGCAGGGATCTGTGAGCAATTATTTGAACTAGCCTCTCACAGAGCAGTAACTGGAGGTGCATGTTTAAATGTTTTAATTACCTCAGTGGGGATAAGGCATGGGAATTTTTTAGCAAGATCAACCTGTAGAAGGGGCAAAATTGCCAAGGAACTGCAGCTACATTTCTATAAGGATTTTCCTTCATTTTTTATGAGGCTGTCATGCCAGATGGCTAATGTGTATTAGTTCTTTAAGATGGGAAAGAAACTACCATCACCTAATTTGTGAGGACAGAACAGGATACAGAAATTACTCAGCTAACCCAAAAATTGTGGATGATATAAGAAATTGTATTTCTAGATATGAACTTTCTTAAGTGGAAGGACATGCAAGAGTTTGGGTCTAGGTCATCTCCATCTGAAACATATTAACAACAAATAAGGCACAATCTTTCAAATATATTTTCCTTCTATGAATTAAATGACCATTTTCTTTATAAAAGGATCTGAAATATATCCATATTCAAGCATTTTCAAATAATGCCTGCCTCTGGATCTCTGATGCCTTTCAGAATCAATTGTCTAACCCTAGACTCCCAACATGCAGCCACTGGTTACTTAATCTCAGTAAATGGGCCTTACTCACCTCTGATTTAGTGCTGAAACAAATGGCTTGAAGAGAAAGAGAGATTGACCAATCATTTGCAAGTCCATCTCTGCCAATGGGATTTTTAAATTTGTTTTGAAGCCATAATTTGAAGGATGTAAAAACTTCATCACCTTTATCACTGTGAAAATTGCATCAAAACATACCATGTAATTTTACCTGTGAAAAAATGAAGAGTAAAGCCGTGAATATTTGAAAAGTGTAAAAAAGAATAATCTAGATAATTATTTAGGATCCCTAATAACTATCATTAGCAACAATGATGATGAAATTAATAAGTAAAAACAAAAGAGAAGAATACAAGTAAAAACAAAAGAGAAGAATACAAGTAAAAACTTGCTAATCATGAGATAGCTTAAACTGTTGAAGAGAGTTTTATGGGGAATAATAGAAACTACATAATGTGAAGCAATTAAAATTCTTCCATACAAAACATTCAGAAACACACAGTATAATACAAAGCAGTTTTATATTGTCAGGGGTGAGAACAGGTTACCTAATGTCTAGCTCTAATGATCTTCATTTGAGGAAGAAAGAAATGAAATAGAATTATGTACTCAAAATATATGTCTTGTTTTCTTTTTCAGCACAAATTGAAGTGATACCATGCAAAATTTGTGGAGATAAGTCCTCTGGAATACACTATGGAATCATCACATGTGAAGACTGTAAGGGATGAGATTTTAATACAGCACAGTCATCAGCATCTGCATTAGCCTCAAGCATCTGTGTATGTAATAATACACTCTGACACCTTTTCAAACAAGGGGTGCCAAAGGCTCTAAAGCCTGCTGTTGATATAGATGTTTCATGTCTAATTTTACTAGTTGCTTTCCTTTTTCATCAAATAGTCTTTAGAGTTACCTCCTTGTTTGAAACATGCATTAATCATATCTGATGCAGTATAAGTGCTGATATAGACTGGCAACTGTAAGTCACACATGTTCTACCTTAAATCAACTTGAGTGTTGGATTTGTTATCTTGTTTCCTATACAATCCATATAGCATTAAAAGTTGGTGCAGTATCTCAGTTCAGCATCTTAAAAGCTTATAGGTGTCGGTTTGGTCCTATTTTATCCCCTTGTATTCTCTGTGGGCCAAATCATAATCTCCAAAAGAAAAAACACCTCACATTATAAACAATGTAAAAAGATCCTTTGCCTTCTTCCTTATGGGCTCCAGCACAATGGAACTGGACTTTAAGAAACCCTCAATGCTCCTTAGTCATATTAGCCCAGACATAGGCTCAAATCAACTCAAATGAGACCTCCAAGTCAACTGAAGGAAGGCTTCAGTTTTCAATTGTAAAAAACCTCTGTGGTTAGTTTCTCTAAGGAATTATTTCATTACTCATGGAAACACAAAATTTTATACTGCACATGTCAGTATTTCAGCTTTGATTGTAAATGTGAAGTTGGAAAGGTGGAGGGGCAGCACCCCTTAGAAAGAAACCCTTTCTTAGAAGAAACCCTATAGTTTCTTCTATATGGAAAAGCACAAGTTAGTACTTTTGAGGGTAGATGCATATGTGCAGAGTGAAATGGCAAGACTGCCTTTACTTAATGCTTTATGAGATTTTAGAACATCTGAAAAATCTGAAAATTTGGATTTACCCATTCTTGAAAGAAAGTACTTAATTTAATGCCAACACATTGAAAAGCAGTATGTTGTCAAAGATCAGATCTTTCTTTCAGAAACATTAACGACTGTAGATACAACAACCTATACTGTGACACTGTCTTATTGTGATAGTGGACTGAAAGCAAGCATCTTTTTATGATTATCACACAAAACAGGATTAGACTAATTGATGTGATACTTCAAAATCAGCACAAAAGCAACAGCAGAAAAATGCTTTAAGCACAGAAGGAGCTTCTTGTCTCAGTACCCAGCCTCCACAGAGCAGTAAGGAGTAGAGTCTCCTGTGGATGTGATTAGTGTTAATGTTAGCCCTTGTGTGTGCCTCACAAGGAGACAATATCCCTCAGCTCTGTGTGTATACTGCTACTGAGAAAAAAGAGCTCCTCTTCCACTTACGGCAGTTTTAACCCTATTGTTTTTGTGCCAGTTTTGCAGTATCAGATCAATTAGTCTAATCTTGTTTTGTGAGCGTGTTATGAAAAAAGATGTCATTTTTCACATCAGGTCCAACTGGAGACATTTCAGTTTGTCAGAGGTCTCTTATAAGGTAAGCACTGTTTCAAGCAGTGTAACTCTGCTCTTCATTGCCCTACAATTAAATAACTATTTGCTCAGCTCACAAAATAATAACTGCTCATTTCTGGCTTTTATCTGAATGCAACAGAAATCTGAATTAATTAAGAGGAAGAGC